AGCAATTCTATTAAACACTCGTATGTTACAGGTTGATGATTATGCGACTCGACCTCTTTTTTCTATCTTCTCTAAAGAATTTCCGATGGACTAACTGTTTTCGATTTTTCCAGTGTAAATAATGGCTTATTTAACTAGTCTAAATTGCTTGACGTGTGTTGTCTGTTCCTTTTGCATGTACCGTTTTTTTCGTACGGCTCAAATACAGTTTTATATTATTTAATGACGCGCATCGAGAATCATTACCTTGCCGTCACACAGTGAATACTAGAACGGGCGGTAAAGGATTTCTATATATAAAATAAATAAATATAAAAATAGCTTCTGTCATCTGTATATGATGTAGGTTCCCGTAGGTGAAAGAATTTTAAAATTGGTTCAGAAGCTTCGGAGCATATTCGGTGAAAACAAAAAAGCGGATCTTTCCTTTTTATAATATTAGTACAGTTAAAGGAATCTATTATAAAATTGTCTGGATTATGGATGATATGTTATAAAAAGTGTATTTTAAATTGATAAAACATAATGTAAATACTGCAATTTATGATCAATAAAGGTCTTTCCTTCATCTTAATTGTTGCACTATGTATATTAATTAATATTACCATAAAAACAGTTAAGTTTTCTTTATTATAAGTTAGCTGTAGTTGTGTTTTTCTTTCGCTATATCGTCGATATACTTGCCTCGGGTGCCTACTGGGTAATTTCCTTATTAACTTGATATTGATTTTGACGTTTGAAGAACTTTTTAAATTAATCGTACCTTGAAACTAACCAAAGTTTTTTCCTCTAGTCATAAAATCTAACGCGGAATCTTCACTAATAATTTTATGTCAAGAAAATACTATATTTTTTATGTTAATATTACTTATAGTAATAATTCTTTATTTCCTATAAATAGGGTAGATTACAATGAAGTAGATAGTTGTCTTCAATATCGTACTTAGACCTATTTAGCCATATTATATCACTAGCATGCAAACGTCAGTTCAACTAGATTTCAAAACAATATCCATTTTAAATAGTAATACATAATTAATTACGGTTTTAAATATATATAAAACAACTATCATTGTCATTTACATTAAAATCATAGTTTCTTACGGGATGGCTACCATATACATACTTTGTTTTTAACGAGTTACCAAAGTTTCGGCGCTGCTGAAAACGCCACCGCGGAACATTTGATTGATTCGAGACTTAACTACTGGATTGAGCTCCATAAGCCATAGAACGTCATTACATACGAAAAATTTTCAAGGGAGCGATACTAACAAACTGCTAACAAACGACTTTCCAAGCTGCTAACAATAAATGCCTACGGTGAGCGAACAACTACCTACCTTTTGCCTCGACTTATTAATGACCTACCGCCAGAATTAAAAGACAGCATATCAAAGAAAAATATTAAATAAAAGTTACTTTTTTAATACACTGTAAATCATTTTATGCTATTATTGTAATTGTCTATTGATTACAATGTTTGTATTTGATCTGATTTTATAATTACGAAAATAAAAACAAGTTGTAAACTCTGATAACACGACTCAAACCTCAGTGGTTTTTAAATGTTATCTTAAACTATTTGTTGTTTAAATGTTTGTTTACTTGATAATAAATGAAAAAATAAATAACAAAAAGCACAAGAATTTAAAACGCGGGGACAGGTTTAATTTGTCGAGTGTCTGGAATCCAGTGGTTTGTACCTATCAAATCCAGAAGATAAATCAATAAAATATCCTTTAGAGATCAGATACAGTGAGTGTTGTGAACAGTGGTACGGGTACCGAACGTTAAAAAGTTTCGAAAGAAGGTAGATAGATATATCTACCAATAACACTCACCCGCAAAAATTTGCAGTTACCCCGTGACCCTAGCACGTCGCAATATCGGGAACTCGATAAAACAAGGTACATTGTAGCAATCCCGTAAAAAACTATCATTTTAATTTTATAAAATACATTTACATTTGATAAAATACGTTTTCGTAGCTCATATTTTACTATAAATTCATCACTAAAATAAATAAACTGGTTTTTGTAGTCGTTCGAGTGGAACAGTCAGAAGCAGAGCGTTATCCTCTCCTCGTTCTTCTGGGGCTATGTGATCCTGCAGATTCCTGGCGGAGAGTTAGCGGCCAGGTTTGGCAGCAAGCTCCTGTTTACTATATGTATTGGCGTCAACTCTGCTGCATCGCTTCTGATTCCAATAGGTGCTGCATTTGTAAGTGTCTAAAAACAATGATATTTTTTATATGACAAAGTAACTTCAGCATATACCCTCGTTAGATTACAAAATAAGTCCTATAAAATTTAGTGACAATAAATAATATAATAATTTAAATGAATGTTTTAAAAATCATTATCTGTTAGCCGTTTAGCTTTTTACTAATAATTTTCAAGTTTGATTGAAATTAATATACGCATATTAATAAGCGCATAAATCACGTTACTTGAGTGTCTAATGTTTCTTTTTATAACATTATACAAACTATTTAGACACCGTTATAATATTTCCAGGGCGGATGGCAGTTGGTATGTGCATGCCGTGTGATGCAAGGCTTGGCTCAAGGAATCTTATTTCCGTCCATGCATAACATTATAGGGAAATGGATTCCACTTGAAGAAAAAAGCCGTTTAGGAACTATCATATACTCGGGTTAGTTGTGTTTTACTTGTATAAAAATAAATTTTAGTCATATATAAACATTTAGCTTTAATTAATGGTTAAATGAATTTAATCGGACCTTCAAGTGATATTATAGTAAAAAATATAACTCTAGAAGATGTCATCTCCAGATTTTTTATTACCCCACTGCAGGGGCTTAGGTTAAGGCGGATGGGCCATGACCCTCCACGCAGACACAATGCGGATTGGAGGGTATTGACGAATGCATATGCAGCCCGGATTAACGGCTTAACGTGAAACACGAGGGTAGCACAAAATAACTGTTGTGTTTTTGGTCACCCATTCTGTAATCGACCCTTGCGAAAGCAAACGACAACGATCACGGGCCGAGGCGCTTATCCACTGCGCCATTGAGCTACTCGAGGATGTCATAACGTAACGTCTTATATAAAAAAGAAAATAATTAAGCTTCTTTTAATTATATTTTCAGGTGCACAACTTGGAACAGCATTGCAATTGATAGCATCAGGGTACATAGCCCAGTATTGGGGATGGCCGGCGATTTTTTATGTCAACGGTACTTTAGGTGTTGTTTGGACGGTCATTTACATGTTCATCGGCTCTGCGTCACCGAAGACTTCTCGCATTATTAGTACAGAAGAAAAGCTTTACATTGAGACGTCACTTGGACATGTCGGTGATCAGAAGGTAACGAAATTTATTAATTTATATTTTACCATTGTGCTATCCAAAAGTTAAATTTTAGTCTGAATAGTCTTTTTTAAATCTTCATTACATATTTTATCAAGTTAATATGGTTATACTTATTAATTAATAAACAAATATTCGAATTGAAATTCGATATCTATGTTTTGTAATAATTTTACTTTCAAAACAAATGAGTAAATATATTACTTCCAATAACAATGGCTAATGCTAAAAGTTATGTTTTAGAAACTGAAAACACCATGGAAGGCTATTTGGACATCTATACCTTTCATATCGTTGATTATCGCTCACTCCGGCCATAACTGGGGTTTCTGGACCCTCATGACTGAGATTCCTTCTTACATGAAACAAATACTTGGAGTCGACATTAAGTCTGTGAGTATTATGAGAAATTTTATCGGAGCCATTAAATTTTGCAATAGCATACTTTTTAATCCGAAGAGGGACTGCATTATTGTACTGTCACTAGCACCTTATAAGCGGTTGCGATTTTCTGGGACAGTCCAGATATACAGCCTAAAAGTTTATCAGAATCGCGGCTGCCATACGAAGTTGTTAACCTTTACGATGAATGCTTACTTTTAGAAGGGTTCGGGAAGCAGGAAGGAACGGTCCTTCCCAGACTGATTTAACAAGTTATCAATATCCTGTTGCTGCTGCCAATATCCTGGACTAGTTTTTGCAGCAGAACGGAAGATTCTAATACGCGATTGTTTCCTCCTTCCCACTCAAGTAGAGGTTACTACCTGCAGGCCAATTCTGCTAATATTTTAGTAATAATTTGCATTATAAAAGAATCTCAAATACTTGCAATTTGCCGTTGCAATATGCACCAAAAGTCTAATATCATTAGTGCAATGTCTCCATCACACATTAACGGTGACAGGTATATAACAGCGTTGGACTTCAGGTAGATAGTATTACAGCAAGATTAATTATGGAATCTCAACTACAATTGTGCAGAATTATAGTTTTATCATTACGATGATGTATAAGCAGACTTGGCCTGCTGGGCTCTTCTCGGGCTTCTACCAGATCATAAAAAGATTCTATTAAATGTGACAAAGTTGTCTTTTAAAATATCAATGCTATTATTAAAGAACCATTAATTTCAGAACGGAGTTCTGTCTGCACTCCCATACTTGGCTATGTACTTGATGAGTTTTCCATTGGGCTTCCTTTCGGATTATATACTCAAAAAGAAGTGGTTGAGTATAACGGCTTCGAGAAAAATTTCCAATTCCTTAGGTAAGTTATATTTTTGGACACATCTAAAATAAATGGTTTTGTTACTTTTTGACGAGCCTAAATTTTTGGCGAAATATATTTATTATCATCATTTTAAAATTGGGCATCTGGATTACATAATAGCATAAAAAAATCACCAGAAATAACGACATAACGACAGAAATAACGACACGTTCTTTAAAAAAAAAACTTTAAAATAAGAAAAATATATTATTATTTGATTAAAACTTGCGTTCTGCTGCAAAAAAAAAAATATTCTTTGATTAAGGTTTGGACTGCTCATCCATTCTAATTTACTTTAAATTCATATTTCAAAACGTCTGCAACCTAAAAAAATACTTATTTTATACACATGTAATATAAGAATCAAACGCTATACGTTTATTTCGGCAAAACCCGGGTATGGCTGGGTTGATTTGCCTGATTTGAAACAGTGAGAAGTGACAAGATGTGCGCCTTGTCGTCTAGTTTGTGTATAAATGTTTCAAATAAACTACTTTATTTTATATTCAAAGGCCAGTGGGGACCAGCGCTGGCGTTGATTGGGTTATCATATGCACCCGCTGACGCCATCATAGCAGTTGCGATCTTGACGGCGGTTGTAGGCCTGAATGCTGGACATTACACAGGATATTTGGTATTATGACAGTTCCTACACTATCAGACTATTGAATCTGATAGCGTGTAAAAAAAGTTGTCAGCTAGCCTATTGGGGCTTGTTGACAAGTTTTTTTAATTTTATAAATAAATAGTTCATTCATATCTAAGAAATAGTAACGGCATGTTAGCGATTAATAGTTTTCGAGATACGGTGCTATATTTGTAGAACTGCTGCTAGTCGGCCCAAAACGCTCCCTACAAATTCAAACCACTAACTGACGTCACACAGTGCTACGGTAAAAAATATATGAATGGCTGAGCAATCTTTGTTATTTTTTCGTTTATATTTACAGCTGTTATAATGTTTTGCTTTATGATACTAATTTGGCAAAGTATTTTAGCAAATATTTGTAATATATTTGACCTTCTTTGTTCAAGTTCAAATCGTAATATTTTCCAAATTAGCGCCGTAAAATTGATTTTATTTAATATTTATAAGTTAAAATAGTTCATATTTTCTGAACATATAAAAGAAAGTTGTATTTTCACTTGTAGCATACAACCTTATTCTACCTATTGGAATTAAAGTGTCTGATGCAGTTTATATATTCTGAAACTTGGGTCTACACGTCTATTTTTTTGTTCCGTTCTTTCAATTTCATTTGTAATATTGAACAAATATTTAAAGCAAGCGCTCTTCTATTTACGAAGATGTTTAAAATTTATTTGATTATTTTGCTTAAATAATGTCTTGAATATCTATATGGTATGATGTTGACATCTTTGATTGCAACATTAATTAATTTAAGCGGAACCTTATAGAATACTTACTGTCTGGGTAATTAATGGCGCAGGTACGATTATTTATTTGATTATGTAGTTTGTGCGTGAAATAACTGATTAGATCTAAGCTATATCTATATGTGGAAACCTATAATTGGCTTATTGTTTTGTTATGCCATAATCTATCTTGTTTAATTAGCTGTTGGTTTTCCAAGATAAATAAATAAATCAATAATACCTCACTAACATTTAAAGCGCCGCAGCCCCCGATTGTTATGTTAAGGAACTTTCGTAAGGGTCGGTCGCGGGATGGGTGACCAAAAAATTATTATCTCGAGCTACTCCGTGCTTCAGAAGGCACGTTAAGCCGTTAGTCCCGGCTGCATTTGCAGTCGTTAATACCCTCCAATCCGCATTGGCCCAGCGTGGAGGTTCATGGCCCATCCTCCTTAACCATCCACAAGGAAGGCCTGAGCCCCTGCAGTGGGGACGTAAAAGGGCTGATAATGATGATGAACATTCAATTGCTCATTCAACAGTTGGTCCACATCGATATGTCTCCCAACTTCGCTGGTACTCTGATGGGTATCACCAACTGCATCGCCAACATAATTTCCATCATAGCACCACTCGTAGCTGGCGTTATTCTTACGGACCAGGTAAAAAGAAGCATTTTCATCATATACTAAAATAATTTTAACGGCCGGTTTCTGAATTGAGAAAGTACAAAATCTCAACTGATTATTCTTAATAAATTAAGTTTTTTTACGTTTCATATGGCAAAAAGTATTAGATTTACCAAATTGCTATCAACTGATAATTAAAAAATTATAAATCAGCAATGAAAACATGTTTTAATGTCATTTAAAGTGGCTTAAGCACGGTTTGAGACGTGCTCAACTTCAAATTCTCAATTCAGAAACCGGGCGTAAGACTAAACTAAATACTGATGATATTTGAAGCATGTTGAAAATTCCAATGGACAAAATAAATCTCGATGAACATATATAAGACGGCTATCTTTTATATATTATATCTTATCAATTTTTCATTCACGATGCTATATTTTTAAAACGAATTACATTTCGTGAAAAGTTACACTGCTTGTAAAATTCGTCAAAACTGAACTGTCTCGGGTAGCTCAAATTACGTAAGGTTGTGACTTCGAGTTCCATTTCAGGCTACCTGAGGCTGGAGCATTTTTCATTAATCGTTTAATCATTTGTTTAAGACCGACGCCGGGCAATGGAGGACAGTGTTTTACTTATCTTCAGCTATATACTTCATATGTAACCTGATCTTCGTCATATTCGGGACAAGTCAGACTCAGAAGTGGAACGAAACGGAGCCAGATGACAATGAAAAAGAAGATATTAAAGGTACCTAAATATTAATGTTAGTTTCATAAATTTCATAATCAATAACACAATAAAAAGGTTTGAATATATGAACCATAGCTAGTCAGTGTATGTTTTCCACAATCCAACTTGTTATCCGAGAATGATGTCAGGTGTCATAAAAACCGACGAGCATGTATGAAAACAGTTATGAATGTCAAGGAATGGCATAAAGTATGTGAAGTCTGGGCGTTTTTGGCTTCACCCATTCAAGCTATAGGACAGCTATTTATTTAAAAAATTAACTAGTATAATATTAGCGTCACATTTTCACTGTACTCTGGCTTTTATCGTCCGGTATAATTCATAATCTATAATATAGTTTATAAATTATAGTATACAACTTATCTCTAAAAGATACGATCAAGTTAAAATAAAAAATAATTGAACCTCAGAAGGAAAACTGACTTAAGTCTAACTGAATGACAAGTTTACACAGTTAAAACCACAAGATAAAAGACTGAGTAGGAATGTATGTTGAAAATTACCATCGTAAAAGTTATCGCTTAAACTAGTAGTAGTATTCTATACTAACAATATAATGTGTTTATAAGTTTTGATTTTAATACTAATCTGTTCATGAAAATTCTTTTACTAACAGGACGCTTTATCATACGCAGTTATCATAATTTATGCAGGTGAAATCGTGGGAAAACAGCTAGTGTATTAATATTCACAAACTTCTTTAGGGTGATCAAATTAAATAAATCCATTTCAAAACATAACCGAAATAAGTTAATATGAATAATGTGATATATGAGACATAAATGGAAGTGGAAAATTATGATTTGTTATTTCATTTCACTATAAAGATTTCACAAGAATATGTTCATACAACAATGTCCAACTCTCTTTTAAACAAGTTTACGCTCTTTTCCACAGCTTAGTTATTTGCTTTATGTGGCTTCGTCAATAGTAAATCAATACTGGATATCTTGGAAATTATATTTATGTTTAAGTCAGATTGTGATTTCTGTAAAGTTGACAGACCACTTATTATTATAATGCATAATGTGAAATCAATTTTACTTTGAACCTCTAAAGCTTACAATAGTTTTTTTCAATGTCCGTGAGATAACGCCTGTTTCTATTAGGTAAATATAATCTTATCTATGCTTTTTTTTCAGGAAATACAGTGGATAAGAAAATAGAAAAAGTTGTATGAATAAGTATTAATAATATTAGGTCAATAAATGTACATACAGTGTAAAATAAATGTAAACTTTATATAAATTATTTAATTTATAAAATTTTCTTTTTTGAAAATGTAGATAATAATAATTAAAATATTTTTAAGACTTATTGTAATTAATATGTAAAACTAGTTACGTTAAATAAACATGGTGAAAAATTGCATCAGAAGTTTGTCGTGTGTATAAAGAGTATCTTAATAACCGTCTTCCTTTAATATTTCGTCCAAGAAACTGCGGCTGGAGAGCATTAAAAAGTTTAAAAAAGTAGGAAAGTTCCTCACCTTATAAAGCTTGTAGCCATAGAATTTTCATTAAATAATTTTCAAGAAAACCGCAGAAGAGCGAATATAATTTGGTTTTTTTACTTACATGCTGAGGCGATTTTATAAAAATTGTTATTTTAAGCCGCAGTATAAATTGAGAAACTTTTTTAAAAAGTAAAGACTCTTATAAATATACTAAGTTTATTCTCTAGATGTTCTCGTCATCTTCACTACATAGTATAAAACAAAGTCACTTTCTCTGTCATCTTCAGAGAAAGTGACTTTGTCTGAAGATGACAGTTTGACAAGTCATCTTCTCCTTATATCTCTATGTATGCTTTAAAACTACGCAACGGATTTCGATGCGGTTTTTTTTCATAGATAGGGTAATTCAACAAGAAGGTTTTTATGTATAATACAAGACCACGCGAGCGAAGCTGCTGGTAGAAAGCTAGTTGATTATATGTGTCTTATTATTGAGACCCGAGTTATATGTTACATGGTAAATTTTAGACTTCCGTAGTAAACAAAAAACCCTTTTAGTTTCGCCATTGTCCGTCCGTCCGCGGTTTAGTTTAAAAACTATTAGTACTAGAAAGTAGTAATTTGGCATAAGCACGTTAATTATGGCGACAAAGTGCCAAAGTAAAATTTTGTAAATAAGAAAAATATGTATACTTCCCTTACATGTAAAACGGGAATATCTGATTTCGCATTGTTCAATGTATCAGTTATCGTTGGATAGCTAAAACATTACGGGTGTGGAAAGGCCGTTTTTCTAAATTTAGAACAAATTCATAGAAAATAAAAATCCACTGTGTCCCTTGTACTATCCATCTCACAGTGCCAGGGACACAGTGGCTTTTTTACGCATTTTTCATTAAAATATTTTATTCTCATTAAATTATTTTCAATAAAAGAATATTTTTCATTATAGCATTGACAATGCAAAATTGATCAAAAATAAAATTAACTCCGAGGAAATCAACAAACGCGTTTTTTTTACTTGTTTAATGGATTATAATACGGAACCCTTGGTGCGCAAGTCCGATTCGCACTCTACTGGTTTTATCAATATGTTTGAGCGCATTCTTAACAGACTTCAAAAAAACTTCACACATATGAAATATTGATATCGTAAGTGTATATTGTAGTATGTTTGTCCACCTGTTTCTCTCAACTTGAACATTAGACCAATAAGTTTCGTCACATTCTCTTCCTCATTTTGGAAGATTATAATTTAACAGACTTTAAAAAGGAGCAGAATTTTATATAGCATCAAAATTTGTTGCTTAACTTCCGCATTGCAGACCACACATGCTAACTACTGGGCTATGTAAAATATGCATTACTTTTAATTTATCTGATGTATGTAAGACGTGATATAATGAAATCTTCTTAAATATAGTTCATCCTATATACGTAATAAGTTCCTTGGCCTTGCGTAGATAATTGCGAGACTTACTTTCACCAGAACGTTGGTTAACTTGTTACAGAACTTAATACGGTTACAGCAAACACGATATTGCTTACGAAAAAAGAAACTTAAGAAAATACTTCCCTAAGTTTAGTTAATTGCGTCATTCTGATTGTGTAATTTGTGACAGTGATAAAGTCTACTAAGTCGATTTATAAATATCAAATAAATAAATTAAAACGTTTGATCAAAGACTTAGAATTGGCTCGTGGGTGTCCATAAATATTTGGGAAATAATGTAGAAGTAACAGCATGTCTGCAATTAATAGTTTCAGAGATCCAGCGCTATGTTTGTGGGGCTGCTGCTAGTTGGCCGAAAAGCTCCCTACAAATTCAAGCTACTAATTAACGTCACACGGTGGTCCAGTAGAAAAAAATATATGGCTGTCTGGTCAATCTTTGTAATATCTTTGTTATTTGTTCGTTTATGTTCATAGCTGTTATAATGAAAGTTGTTAGTGAAAATACAGGTTTCAGTTAATTAATTAAGCTAATATAGAAAGGTAAACATTACTCATTGAAATTTATGTAATTTTGTAATATGCAATTTCGCCATTCACAATGGGTCATTCATCGTCCTTGTAACCGCAATTTTCTCTAGAATCTTCGGAAGCCTTTGATGCGAGAACATAGGTGCGGGCTTTATCATTTGTTATTACCTTAAACCCTGCAGAACCACCTTCCTCCTATATTGTGTCTCTTTGGTGAACAAAAGAATCCGCCATGAATGTATTACTTCAGCCATAACTTTTAATAAAAGTTTTTTAGGATGTTTTTGTAAAAATGGGAATCTTAACATACTGTTGAAAAGTTCAGATGGAATCTATATTGTAAATGGAAATGGCGTTATTTTGTATTTATAAATATCTGGACATCGAACGTTTTCAATTTATTTTAGGGAAGATATAACTCGTGTGTGTTTTATTATATTGCGGTGTATTTAATGCTTAGTCGATTTAAACATAATTAATAGTGAATTTCATTGTCTGATTTTAAAAATAATTTGTATGAAAGCAATCACAAACTATTATAATTCACATCTTTGCAATTTTGAAGTCACATACAAGATGTAAAAAAATTCATTTAGCACACCTGCTTCGGATGAAATCAATGATTAGTAATTTTTACTCTTGGATTATTATTTTATAAAACTTACATTAGGAACATAATATGGTTAACGCGTTTGGTCTGAAAAGCTGATGCCAGCAAACTTTCCCGAGGGCTGTTTAGGGATGGGTAATCAAAAAATTGTCCCAGCTTAATCCTCAACCATTAACAACCTGCTACACACAAATAGTTCGTTGTTGTTGCTGTTGTTAAGCAACTATCGTAAGGTCGATCACGATAGGGGTGACCAAAGAATTATTATCTCGAGCTACTCCGTGCTTCGGAAGGCACGTTAAGCCATTGTTCCCTGCTGCATTTGCAGTCGTTAATGCCCTCCAATCCGCATTAGGCTAGCGTGGCTGATTCTCCTTCACCATTCATAAGAAAGGCCTGACCCCTGCAGTGGGGATGTTAAATGCCTGTAGATGACACAACTTACCGGAGTGGGCTAAATTCTTTCTGTTGGGTTCCATTCATATCCAGCACCTGATAGGACATTAATAGACTGAGGATGATAAAACTTATGACATTATTTCTGATTGATAATATATTTGTTTGAAGACAAGAAATTCTTCATATTGAACGACGCAAACATGGATCATGACTTACTCACAGGGTCAATCTGGCTATCCCAATATTGTCCTATATAAACTCCATAGTATATTATCACTATACCACAAAATAAGGGACTACCCACACACGCACCCTTACAGTATCTAATACTGACAAATAGTACGGTAAGAGCTTTAATAGTCACATAAGACCCTCCGTGGCGACTAAATAACATTTGTCCATTGAAATATCTTTAGAAGTCAAACTACATTTAAAGGCATTTGAATTAATATTATTATTAGCTCTATACTGTGGTTCCACTAATTAATGTTATCTAGGAAAATAAGAATGAGACGACAAATATAGTTTTCAAATTTGATAACTTTATATATTAATCCATTTAAACAAAACAAAATTAGTGTTTTATT